AGAGACAACATACTGCCTGTGCTTGTGCCTGTTAAAGGAGAACAGGCTGTGTTGCTGTCCCTGTGTGTTCACTGACTGTGTGTGTGTGTGGGTGTGTGTGTGTGTGTGTGTGTGTGTGTGTGTGTGTGTGTGTGTGTGTGTGTGTGTGTGTGTGTGTGTGTGTGTGTGTGTGTAGTATACTGGTGCTTTTATGCTTTTTTGGAAGTGTGTCACCTGTGTTAATACAACAATGTCTGAAGAGTGCCTGTAATTTAAAAGCACACCACTCACTGCTGTAAACAAGGACTTAATGTGTGATCCCCTGCAGATGTTACAGATGAAGCTCCATCATATGAGAGGTTCAGGAACAAGCAGCTCTAGCACAATGCTTATAATGCATTGGAAGGACAGATGCACTTTGAGCTTATAATGATATTCTCTGTTCTGTTTATTCGCCTTACAGCCTTAGATTTCTAGACGTGCTGAAAAAGTAAATTTGCTTCCTCGAAAGATCTGGCATATGAAACAGTGTCTGCACTGAAATGTAGTCACAAGCCCTTTAGGGGTTTTAATACAAGATGAAACATTAAAAAAACTCAGTTTTAACTTTATTTGTTTTCCTGAATCTCTGATGAAACAGCTGTGGTTTTTGGTGGCAGAATAGCTGCAAATAAAGCTGGGCTCTGTTATAGCAGAGTGTCATGTGAAAGGGTATCAAAGAGAATTTCAAAATTCAAAAAGCTTTGTAGCAAACGAATGGAAAAGCTGTGAAAACGTTTCCATTAGTACTGTGCAGGGCAGTGCATCAGAAAACTACTGAGATTGACCGAGATGCTGAGTGGGCATGTCTTTGACCTACGTCTTCTGCTGTGTCTGGGAGTGAGGTCTATAGGAAAGTCAGTGACTTTGCAGAGTCATAAAACGGTTTGAAACGTAGTGGTCGGGGAGACCCTCAGCCATTAAACCCTGAGGGATAACTTCCACATGTGTATACCTTATTACATGAATTGTTTTTTTGCCAAGTTGAGTGTACAGATCTGACATTGTAATATTATATGCATATATCAGAAAATATATAAAAGCTTTAACACTTAAATAGCCCGTAAGATGAGCCATGTGGAGGGTTTGCAAACATAACTAAGCAGCTAAAAACAGTAAAGAAAATTCTGGATTTCCATTTTCAAGGTGCCATTTTTAACACACATAACTAATTATTTGCATGTAAACTACATCATTACCAAGTAACAAAAAGGTAGCTTAGTAGCTACCAAAAGAAAAGTAAGAAAGAAAGTGAAAGTGAGAAACTGATCCATCAAAACAGGCAACGCCATGATATGTCATCATCTTTTAGCTTTGACACAATGATTCTGTGGTTCTGGTCAATTACTCGTTGCACCATCCAGGATGTTTAACTGACACCATAAAGAAAGTCTGGAGTGCAAGAAATCGGTTGATGGTGAAAACATTTGTACTTCCTTTAAAGAGTAAACAACATTTAAGATAAGCTGTGTAAAAGTCAGAGGTTTGTAACTCACAGTTTTACTATCCACGATGATGATGACATACAATGCCTGAGATGGCCGGACACATTCAACTCTTTTTCACTCCAAAATCTTTTTATTAGGTTTAAATAAAATTAAAAAAAATACTAATACTAATACTATAGGCAGTAACAATGAAGTTTCACTAAAAATGTTATCATAAAAAAAACATTCCTGGAATTGAAAGTGTGGCGGGAGGATTGATAATAACCTTATCTGTTTGAGCATTCATAATGACTTAATTTAATGTTGCATGGAAAACATATTTTTGTGTTTATTAAAACTGCAGAAAAATTGAGAGAATGGCAGATGACAGAAATCTATGGACGATCTTGGAGAGCTAATAAGTATCACAGTGAACAAATAAAAGACATAAAAACTTCAAAAGAAAAGCCCACTGCGCTTTATACTTTTTTTGTACATCATGCAGCGATTTGTACTGTTCAAGTTGAAACCCAATAAAAAAAATGAAGGTAAAAAGCACACTGTATCTATTACTACATGCAGACAGAAACACAAACAGGACAGATGGTATGCTTAATTTCCAATATTAAACTATTAGGACGTTCGATAAGAAAAATCCACACAAACCAAAAGTTCCTCACATGAGCTTTAAATATGGACACAACACACAAACACATGTAGTACCCCAACCCACACAGGTCACACACACATACACACTTACACACACACATAGACACACACGCACACGCACACACACACCCACACACACACACACACACACACACACACACACACACACAAACACACACGACACACTTAAACCTTGGTCAGCGTTGCTCGGTCTCTCCTTAATTGTTTCCATATGATGCATTAGGAGTTGTTTATGAGTTAGTGCAGCAGAAAATGTATCATATCCTGCTTTTTATTCCCAATCAGGGATAAATCTCCAACAGTGGCCTGTTCACGCCAGAAACAACTTGGAACACGTAGCTCAAATATCTTTATAGGTTTGCACGTGCACATGTTTGTGTGTGTGGCAGAGGAGAAGATAAATTTACTGTATGTTGCGGAAAGGAAATATTCATTTTATATGGCCATGTGTCGTATTTACGAGCTGCATCAACGTTTTACAAGTGGAACAAACTTTCTATAAATCTGTGACTCTAGCAGAGAAGCCACAGTATACTTTATCCAACCTTCTCTTCGGATATGAAACATGCACCCAGCTTAACACGACCTCCTGCTGCTGCTTGATGTCATCAGACCAGAGCAGGAAACACCAACCAAACTAGTCAGTCTCTGTCGGCCATACTAAAAAGGGTCTCTTTACCGGGCACAGGATGGCGTTGCGTCAGCAGCATGATAAGCTGTGTCTGCTAACCCTTCTGGAATCCATGGATAAAAACCTGCTTATCACTGCTGTGATAGCGGCTTCAGTTTTCATATGTGTCTCTTTAATTAAGACTGGGGAAAGCTCAGAGCTCTCCCGTGCCTGCTATTGTACAAATACTGTTTCTTTGCACATGGAAGTTTGTAATTTGTTCGCATGAGGTGGTGTGTGCTTTACATTTGTGTATGTTGGATCTATAAGATTACAGGTGGATAGAAGATGTGTGTTGCAGAAAAGGTCAGTTGTTGCACCTGTGCTTCACCACTGGTCTCAATCCAATTTATTTGCACACAGTCAATCCATTCCATTCTCGTGTGTCATCTGCCACCTCAGAGCGACCCTCTTTCGCAGCGTGTTTGTCCAGCTAACTACAAACCACTGTGTTCTGCTGGGATAAAACACACACATGCATGTGTCCACAAAGAGAGGCTAGTTATCATACTGTGTTTACAAGCAGAACAAATACGAGGTTAAACCTGGTGTGGCGGTGTAAGGGGTTCGAGATGAAGGGACATGAGATGTTGCTGCTTAAGGGAAAATGTCATGAATTATATTGAAAGTTCTGTCAGCTTATATGTCAGCCACAATATTAGACCGCAGGCTACCCAACAACCCCTGAGAGGGTAAGGCCTGAGCATGAATTTCACACACAGAAAAGGAAAAAAGAACAAACACGCAGAGGGAGGGGAAAACAAAGACAAGCGCGCACACAAAGGCCAGAGAAGAGGATGAGTACTCTGGGGGGGGATGAAGAGCAAGTTTGAAAACATCTGGTGCGGGGCGCTGACAGCAAGGAGAGAGAGAGAGAGAGAGAGAGAGAGAGAGAGAGTTAGGGATGTCTCAGAAGGGTTGATGGTCCAGCAAAAGAGAGAGAGAAGAAACAAGGACTCTTTAGGGATCAGAACATAACAAACATGCCTTTTTTTTAAGAGTTCAATATATTCTCATCATATGCTGGACAATAATGGACTAGATCAACCAGCTGGAAGGATAATGGTTACACTCAAACATTAGCAACCAAGTAAGAGTTAAAGCTCATTAAAGTAAGATCTGGAAAAAAATAAGGAGCTAATGCAGCTGCAGCACTTTGATGGATGGAAATACTTCCAAGTAGCCTGCTGCAGGCTGACGATAACATTTTTGAAAACACTCTATAAAAGTTCCTTTCATAAACTAAAGGAAATTATATGGTTTTTTTTTTGCATTGAATACTAAAGAAAGAGACAATAGAACATAGCTTTTTGTGACAGCACTATATCTTTTTAAATCTGCTTAGAAATGTAGGGCAAACAGGTGAAGGCTGCTCACTTACTCTGCCACAGGAGAAAGAGTTAGCATTTTAATCCTAAAAAACCCAAAAAAACACGATGTGCAAGATTATTACAAACACATATAAATGTTATCTCTTTTGTTTGAAGGATTGTGCTTTTGTTCTCATTGCAGGTTTGTTTTGTAGCCAGGAAAAAGAACTGTGGGTTGTCAAAAAACTGAAACAAGTAGCTTCTTTATAGGAACACGGGGGATCGTAAACTCTTCATAGTGATCTCCTTGTAGGAAGTGTCTTTGACATGTGAGATTTAAGGGACCTTTGACGGATACATGATATATTTTTAAGTTGTTTGGTGCTGTTATGATATCCCCTTTATTCAACCCCTGTCATATTTATACACTGCAGTGCCTCTGAAACGTATTACAGGATCATCACAGTTAATTCTCTTAATTCCTCCTCCATCTCCCTGAACGAGGCAGGAAATCTTCATGTAAACATGGCATCCATCCACTGCTAAACTGAGTCACATCCAGGGCAGCCCTCAGCCTGCATGAGTGAGGAGAAACATGGGGGAGAGGAGCTAAAAACATGAGAGAGGAATCACCAGAGTGGCACAAAAATGGGATAGTGTCTAGTGGGAGGGGAGAGAAAGCGAGAGAGGGTGAGAGAGAGACTATAGAGAGGAGTGGAGTCAGTGGCCTAGATGTGTGAAACGCCAGGGGTTGCTGTTTTTGGTTCACTGGTTGACTTACTAAGGGCAAATAGACCAAATGTAATAGGGAAGTTCTGCACCACACGTAGGAAAAAAAAGTTTTGAACCCTTAAACTTTAATTTTGGTAGCTTTTAAATCTCCTGCAGAATTATTGAACTAGGATTGCTCTCGCACAGACCAATAACTTGGTACACAGAGGACATGACATGCATGATCATGGCAATTATAGAAAGAACATATAGGACTAATTCTTGTGTTTTTCCCAAGACGGTCAGCGTTCAAGCATTCCGCCTGACCGACTGATACGATGGCCTTGGAGGCAGACAGCGACAGAGGTTCATCAAGAAGCGCTCATGAAAAATATCCCCGGGCAGCGTTGGAGCGCAACGGCTACGTGAAGACATGTGTCACCCCGCTGCACCAGGACGCAGGGAGCCAGTCGTGGCTGAGAGTCGCCGTGACATGGACTCACCGAGGAGTGTCGTCTGCTGTCTGCGTTGCATCCATCACCGTTATTCTCTCTCTGCTGCTCAGATTGGTCGACGGGGATGCAGGCAGCAGCAGCAGCAGCAGCAGCAGCAGCGGAAATAGCTCCGGTTCTAGTCTTCATTTCTCGGCGGGCTGCGCTGTGGAGTTGCTTTTCACTGCATGTTACTGCGTCTCCCCAGTTTTTACTCTCGTATGTGCCTTCTTCTGGGTCGGGCTTTATCTGATCCGCTGCGGGGTGCTCGTCCGGACCGCGGTGTTTCTGTTAGCGCTGTGCCACTTGGGCGAAGCCGCGGCGCAGTCGCTCCTGCGCGGCGCCGAGGAGCAGCTGCTCTCGCTCCCCGCGACCCTGGTAGTCCTAGGCTGCGTGGGCAGCGGGGCTCTGCTGGTCGTTCGACTGCGCCAGGGAGTGTCCATCCTCGTCTTCATCAGCGTCATCAGGGCCGTCTCCATCGTCTCTCTGAGCAGGGTCCGGGCCAGCTGGAGACCCTACCTGGCCTACCTGCTGGGGCTGCTGGGGGTTTTGCTTGCGAGGTATGCTGACCGGCTCCTGCCGGCCTCAGGGACCAGCGGGACGGGGTGCTGTGGCTCTGTGACCGGGGCGAAGGAGGAGGACATCCCTGTCTTCAAAAGGAGACGGAGGTCCAGCTCCATAGCGGCCTCGGAAATGATGGCTCATAGTCAGAGCAACAGCAAGTCCCACCGCAGGACTTCGCTGCCGTGCATTCCGCGGGACCAGGTAAGACTAGCCTAAGTTTGGAATCATTTTTCACTTCACATTCAATGATTTGACCTTTCAACAACTGCAGACTTTTGTTTGCTATCCTCTATTTGTCACTGCTGGCATACGTGACAGCTTTACGCGCGAATCATTCTTGACAACGGGCCAAACGGGACACCATAGATTGTAATAAGCGTTATTATGATGACACGAATGATTTGTGTGCTGCATAGGCCTTTTACTGTTACTCTGACCCATGAGGCTACTTTAAAAAAAAAAATCTCTGAATAACGCCTGATATGGTGCTTTAAATAGCAGCATTGTCTGTGCACCCTCTTTCTGTCATTGCTCTTAGTTTGGGCATCATCATTTGCTCGCGTTGTGTTTGTGCAGCTGATAAGCAAATGGATGGTGCACTTAGCATGCCGAGTAAAAATGTGTCTGTGCCAGTGTGTGTGTGAGCGAATGTGCTTGCCTGTGTGCGCATGAATAGGTGAGAGGTCAAATGTAAACATTTAAAAAAAACTTCTGTTTATCCTGAGTGCTGACCAGTGGCGTGGTGCACGTGCTCTCAAACTTTAACACATGATGGAGCCAAATGTGATTCAACTTTGTCCTTACAAGAGCCCCCTCTGGTGCTGCAGGTCAGGGTTATTGATTGTCAATTGTTATTGCTCTATTTTTATTGTGATGTGTTTATTAGAAATAGACATCTTTTTTAAGGTTTTGGAAGTTTAAAAAAAAAAAAAAAAAAAAAGTCTCAATGTAGGGAGCTGTTGAACGATAATGTAACCTTTCAAAAATAGCTGGTCGTGATAAAAAAAAAATCTATGAATGAGGTGGATGTGCCCTGCCCTGAATACTGGTTTAATAACGTTGTGCTGGAAGCTTATCCCTGTGTGTTAGCAAGTGGAAATGCTCACACCTGAAAGCGCTGATTTCAGTCTCTTTTTCTTATTATTTTATAATATAATAAATATAAATCAGCAAGTCAGTATCTGGTTTATTTTGATCTAAATGTGCAAAAAATCTCAGTCAGAGAACAATCTCTCTTGACATGTTACCAACATGTGAGTCCTGCTTGTGAAGTTTAAGCTTTACCAGAAGGTTATGCGTTAATATAAATGCTGACTTTGCAGTTTTTTTGGATGTGAGCCATTCAGAAAAATCTATAGGCCTAACGCTTTTAAAAACTGAATGGTGCACATGTATAGCTCAGCTCCGGACGGGCAGAGCTTGAAACCCTTTATAAAATCCCCTTTGACCCAAACAGGCAATATAAATTTGATTCATTTTACGTGTTTTATTCTACAATACTTATATCGTCTCCTTTTGTTGTCTGTTGAATCTATGTTTTGGTGAATTGATTCTCTCCTTTATATACTTTGATTGTTGTCTCCAAAATTGTGATGATCAAACATTCATGACTCTGTACACTTTTTAGTGTGATATAATGACTTGGCACTGATTTGAGAATCAATCTAAAGCATTTTCAGATGACATCTCTCTGCAGGAGCAGACTCACACATCAACTCTATGTTGTGCTTGAATATTTGTTAACACTGAAGAACAGCTATCTATACTATCATGCCATGCATGGGCTTAAAAAATATTCTCATATTATATATCGTAATGTAGTAATGTGTATTGGGAAACGTACATGCACATCCACTTTTTCTTTGATATGCAATAGTGACTTTTCAATGCAAGCCTGGAGTAGTAGCACTTACATGTTCATATGAAGGTGAGTTTGTTTTCTCCGAGATAGAGAACCTGGTTTAAGAACATAAACATGATGGAGCAAAACCTGACGCAATCTTGTCTGTGTTGTGTGTTATGGTGTCAAGTGTAGAGAGAGAGGAGCTTTGAATATTTATATAGTTAAACCACTTTTTTGTATCATGATGAGTGACTGTCCTGTAACAAGTACATGTAAAGACACATGGCTATAGCCCCCCCCTCCTCCGAACAATTAGTTTATTGGTTACTGATACATAAAGAGAATTTGACAAACCACCTTAAAGCAGTCGTTACTTTTGTAAAGACCCCATCCATGCATACCCAAATTAAAGTACTCATCTTTTATAAACATTCACATAAGTGATAAGCTGAAACATACTTGTGTTTCTATGGTAACAGCTTGATGCTTTTGTGATCTTGAGATAATCAAAGCTCATTATTTTTGAGATAGTTCAATAATTAACATGATCTCAAGATAACAGGATTCAAAATGATTGAAAGCACAGCTGTTCTCAGCGTCAATACTTTTGAAGTTGTTGATGTTTATCAGAAAGCTGATGCCAATCGCTCACTCGTTCATTTATGAGTAAAAATCTATAAAGTCAAAAAAATCTGATGATTAATTATATGTTGTTATTTATGCAAAGGTTGTTGTCCCCTCACTGATCATCTTGTTATACCCATGAATTTCCCTTTCACAGGCAGTTATTCATCTAAAGTGTTTTGCTATTTGTGTAGTGAAAATTGTGACATACCCCAATATATTTGGAGGAATCCTCACTGATTCTTGTTTTGTTGACAGTTTAGCCCTGATCTTGTAGATTCAGACACTGGAGAGAGGGAGGAGAGGGAGAGAGGAAAGCTCCATTTTAGCGATTATTTGGCTCACATGTTCTACGACACTGATCTGTGTTATATGGTTGGTATTGTAATGTTGTTCAGACTTCCCAGAGAGAGGATGGGTTACTCTATATGCTCATTGTTAGAAGTATAGGTTATGTGTCATGCATACTAGCCATTAGACTTTATTCAGAAATAAAGGGTGAAGTCAGATTAAAGGGGCCAGTTTTGGTAATTCAGGTAAACTGTGCCAATAGTGATTTCATATCAAATTTGTTTAATAAACATTGCACAAAAAGTAAGGAAATTTAGGTTTGGTAGATTATTTATTTGTAGTAGCAATGCTTCTCTGCAATAAATCTTATACCGTTGGAAAGCCTGCTTATTTCCCTTTTAAATGGTGCCACATTTGTAAGGAAGATGCATTTGTGGGATGAGCAGCAGAGCTGAATATGCTGTTAGGTATTGGCAGAGAAGATTTGGCAAGTTTTTCATGGGCGCAACACACACTCAGCTCTGCTGCTCATCCCACAAATGCAAAAGATGTATTGCAGAAAAGGCATTGTTACAACAAAGTAATTACAAACGATTGCTCTATCCCTACATTTAGTCATTTATGCTATGCCATACTCCCTTTCAGTACCATATCCCTCCAGCAAACTAGGACCAATACAAACTTGTGTTATAAAAAATAGTTAGTGTTATAGGAACCATTCAAGATCAGTCATTATGATTGTCTGTGACATTTTAAAGAACTAAGATGCTCTGACCTTATCTGGCCCATTTCAGGTGACTTCACCAAACTATAAGCAAACCAAACATTCAATCAAATTATAATTATTCTATTATATTATATATACATATATATATATATATATATATATATATATATATATTTATATTTGTATCATAATTTTTAAATATATATTCTAAATTATTTTTCTATACACAAATTAGATTCCTAACCATAACATTGGCCCTAGATTCAGCCTGAAAGGCAGGACTTCATTTGTATGTTCCATTACCTGAGTTTTTTGTTTTTAAGTCTTAGAGTTGATCTGTGCAGCCGTCTGACCCTCGGTTGTTCATCACGAACTGGTATCCAGGAAACACTAACTGAGTGTACTACCGGCACTATTAGAACAACACCCTTACACGCTCTACTGCGTGATGGCTTGAACAGGACTGATGACAAATTGAACTTTAAAACAAATCGAAAAAAAAAAAACTCACAATGACCAGATGTTAAGGACAATGTGTCCTCTTGTGGCCTGTCGTCACGCTGTAATCTGTGTGACCAGCAAGAGGAACATAGAGATTATTGTAGGGGACAGAGAGAGACACACACAAAACCACGGATTGCACTTTATGTTTCAAAGTGAAGAAAATAACCAAAATAGTAACATTTTTGGATTATTAACTAGTTGTACTTTTGGATTGGATTAGGAATTCCAGTTTTAAAGTAAAGAGTTAAAAGTTTCATAAATCTATTTGACTATTGCAGTTTTTAAAACTGAACTTTCTGCATGAGTAGTTGCTGACTTTGTCTGTCTGCTTGTTTGATTGACAGTTTTCTGCAGCCTAAAAACTGTCGCGAGTGCCGCAACCTTGCACCAAAACAATAATATAGCAATCTGTGAAGCCACAGCAGTATGAACATACAGAAAGTTACTAAAAGCTAAAACTATTAATGTAAGCGGGCGTGCTCACTGTGTGTCGGGTAATGGGTAATGCAAGGTGCTCTGTAGTAGGGACAAATGGTAGAAAAAACAACAACAGTGGACCAGCTTACCTCTGTTTGGTAGTGGAGTGGGCTCTGAAGCGGTTACAGGCACACTGATGGGGGAGAGGTTAGGGTGGAAAGGAAAGAAAAGAGTGGAAAACACAGACGCATTTCAGCCTATATGGCCTTCATCAGGGAGTTAGAGTACGGCACAGGTGTGCTGGTATAGAACAAACAAATAAATAAATAAAATAAATAGGTAAGGGATACTTACCTACTCAAAGCTTGCATTTTGTATCTCTGTAAGCTCCTCACTGTCATTGACTCCTGTCACAGAACACATCGTTTCTCTCTGCATTTATAAATGAATAACTTAATGTAACTGTACACATTTTGTTGGCTGTTAGTTCTACAAATGCTGAGGTGAGTTTAACCTGTTTGTTATCTTGCAAGTAGGTGGTGTAGTGTAGGCATTGTCTTCAACATAACCTGTATTTCAATACACTCCTTTGCTTTGTTTAAATAAATGTTGGTTAAACTGTTATCTTTATTTTTGGTGTCCTGATTTAGATATTCGGAAACAAGCATATTCTTTTAGTTATAAGGTTGTACAAAAATTGTATGACTCAAGACGTATGAAATAATTATCGCCTTGCAAAGTAGTCCGCCAGTTCTCCTTTCAATACTTAATCAAGCATCCAAATTAACACTTGTT